CCATTTCGGTTACAACGACATTCGTTTATAACGACACTATTTTTAGGCCCCTTTGATGACATTATAACTAAGTTCTACTGTATATATATATATCTATCTGTCTGTCTGTCTATCTATGGCTCTACAGTCATTTTGTTGGATTTTGGCCTCTTTTTCGGTTTGTTAATCCTATGCGCAGTCGGTGGAACTCCTTGGACGAGGGATCAGCCCAGCGGGAGGCCGCTTCCTACGCACGGAACAATACAAATACAGAATGAACGCACACAGACATCCGTGCCGTGAATGGGATCCGACCCCACGATCCCAGTGTTCGAGCAAACGAAGACTGTTCATGCCTCAAACAACGCGACCACTTTGACCGACATTGCTACTTAGTAGAGCTCATAATCAAGCTGTTTTTTAATCACCCGGTAGTAACCAAACCTTCAATTACAGTTAAGTTGGGAGTTAGAAAATGGGGAAGCCTTATTTTATTTCAGTGCACTCGTTTGTAACATCCTGGGTTTCAAAATTAATATTCTATAGATTCAATAAGCATGGAGTTTGTATAACATCGCGTTTTGGATTTCTGATGGAAATTGATGTTTGCTTTCAGCATATGACGAGCCCGAGTGTTTCATCTGTGCTCCAGATATCGCTAATGTGCTTATATATATAACGGCAGTAATTTTATAATGTTAATTTCAGTTAATGGAACACAAACGGCTGATTTACATGTAACAAACTCATAGAAATTACAGACAAATGCAGTTGAAACTTCCATTCGACCGGCAGATTTTGTTTATCCTAGAGACCGCGTACATTTCGTGCCGCTGCTTGCCGTTTAATTGAGTTCATGTTTTATGAGCAATAAAGAGCATGACTTCCGTCCTGCAATTAACATGTTTTATGTACATAACGGGCCATTTCATGATGTAATTCTGAAACAGGAACACCAACCGCGGGACACAGGTTTCATGCCATTTTGTTTTGTAGGCAGTTCAAAATTTCAATAATTTTTTTTCTTTTTCCACTGGCTCTACAGCCCCCTTGAGCCCTGGTCTTTGTATTTCTCAGTTTCATGATCATTTTGCAGACGGTAGGACTCCTTGGACTAGTGATCAGTTCGTCATAAGGCCTCTACCTAAACACAGGACGACACAAACACAGAATAAACACATACACATACCAAACATCCATGCCTTGTGGGGTTTCAATAATGTACAGGTTCTTAATTATCCCCAGGACATCCTTTTAACCCGAAGGTCATTGTTTCAGTCACGTGATGCATCAGATTGTGCGCTCAAAAAAAGGTACGAGACCTGAAAATCTGTAAATTAAGAACCGGATATGGCCAACGACACGATAAAGTAAAGTTACCCCCGTGCTTAATTAAGCGCCGTAACATGAAGACGTATGGTCAGTCAGCCGTGATCTGGAGGACGGAATCTGGGGTTAGCAGTGTGGAGTTCCATTTTTGGCAACCATTACCTAGCAACGTCTAGTGACCAAACATGACTCTGTGCGTGCTGCAGTTGTTGTGATCTATCTATGGGGTGTAAGTTAGTGAGACTATTATAATCATTTGCAGTTACGAGTTGTGATCGTTCAATAAATCCTATTATCAATTCAATCCCCGTGTCTACACACACGTGACAGTATACATTCACGCTCTGGCCGCTGTATCTCCCTGTGACCTTTCAACAGGAAGCATAGGCGAGCTGGGCGCTGTAGACCGCCTGTGGACGCTGAATGGCGTCCGTTTTAAGCTCCCAGCCGGAAAGTTACCGCTGTTGAATAAACAGATGAATAACTCGGCGCGCGCGACATGAGAATCCCATCACCGCCACGTGTCCATTTCAAAACCCGATAAAAGTTACAAGTTTTCCGTTCATTATCCGTCATTTTTGTGTCAGTTGCAATAAACATATGAAATGAACGGATAATGGGGGTGTCATGTCGACCTCTCTTCATGTATCACCTCTTAAATGAATTGACGGGTTTTGGTTAATATTTTTAAGCCTGAAACTAATTTAAATTATATTTAAAAGTTCAGTTCCTACCTTCTGAGGCATGAAAATCGCCTAATTATACTTAAAACTTCAGTTGATACCTCTCCAAGCATGAAAATTATCTGAATAGTAGGTACTTAAAAATTCACTTTCTACGTTTTGAAACATGAAATTGGTGTAATAATATTAAAAAAAATAATTCTCATCTCAGAGAAAAAACATTGCGTCGCCACTGTAACGACGTTTAGGAAAATAATTCCTCTTTATTGTGAGACTCGTACTGTCACTTGTTAGTGCCTGGACGCGGGTTTGGATTGGTAATTAGATTTAATTGAACAGTCGTAAGTACACGTAATTATACCGCTGTCACTAATCCATATGCTCTACTTCTCACTACAGCGCCCGCTGGCTCAGCCTGTTATAGTCTTAGCTAGTTGTTGCTTGGTTACGGTTCCCAACAATGGAGATTTTCCTAGTGTCATGTTTACGTCATTGCAGGCTGGATATTATCTCACATCTCGGTCCACCAATTAAATTTCTGCTGGTATTGGTCAGCACAGTCATTCCTGGTTTCAGTCTCCCCGAGATCCATGACCAAGGTTTTTGTTCTCTAAGTCGAAATATGTTACGACCAACAGTCAGTGTGCCAGTCAGTCTTGGTGTCAAGCACTCATCTGGGGCTCAAGACCAAAAATTGCACTCTTAAGATAAATTTGTGTTTTTGTCACGGTATGAAGACGCATGCTGGAGTAGAAGTAAAGCTCCGTCCGTTCTTAACGTCGGCACTAGATATATGTAAGTAGTTGGTTAAACGACCCGGTCTCTCTACCCGCGGGGGGAAGAGACCCTGATACACTACTGTATAGGGGACTGGGTGGCCCCCAAAACCGGTCTTGACGTTTTAAAGAAAAGAAAATCTGTACCTCTGCCGGGAATCGAACCCCCCTCGGTTGTTCATTCTCTTGCCTAACCACTATGTTCCGTGAGCTGCCGCGGCTGCCACGTAAGTGTAAAGGAAACTCAGAATACCCACACATCTCCACCCTTCGCGAGGTTGAGCGCCTTGAAGTTGGACAACTTGTAATACAAAGGTGCATGCTGTGTGGCTTGGTGTCTCCTGTCAATCTGCAGCCTTACTTGACGTACGCATTAGCGAATTATAATGTGTGACAAAGAGAAAGGGATTTCCCCGAAACTGTCTCTCTGAGTAAGCACCAGACAGACTTATAACATTTCTCTTATACTATCCATTTTTATTCATTTTCTGGCAGCTCATCGCCGTATGTGTCACATATTCTTTATTCCTCTTTATTTATCGTTTCCTTTCGCATGTTTTTCGTGTTCATTCTTGTTCCTATTCATCCAAAGGATTGCTATGGCGGTAACCCTCTGTGTTTTGGAGGCGTTCTGTTCGAACCTCAGCCGAAGTTCCCGCTGTCTTGACTTAAGTTTTCATTGTTTTCCTTAGCCTCTCCAGTAAATTTCATAGATAATATCTCGATTGCGTCATAGCCATTTCCTTCCAAATCCTTTCTAGTTCATCCGTCAATAATCTTACCATTCGACGCTATACGTCCTAATTAGTGACAGCGACGCAAAGTAACCCCCCCCCAAAATATTATTTGATTTTCCTTATCCTGCCTTTCTTTTTCATATTTCATATCTTTATTTTCGTTATTATTTCACTCTGTATTGTCTTCTTCCCCTCTGACTTCTCTCTAATTATTTCCTTTTTATATGCTTAATTTATTCTTTATCTTTCATATGTTCTTGCCTGTTTCATTCATTTTATAATTTCGATTTAACGTAAGCTGCATTGTGCCCTTTAAACACGACCTATAATTTTATTAATAATGAAGTTAATACAGAATTTTACTACTCTGATGTTAAAACAGCTAAACCATTTGACCTTACCTCGATATCTACTATAAACCTATTTTTGCAGACATAACGCAGGTCAGGAAAGGCTGTGGGTTGCTGAACTAACACTGGTGACGGGCTTTAACTCTCCGTTTGTCTGTCTGTCTGTTTCAATCCTGCAGCTCTCTTATCAGGGACGCTGAGGACGTTCCAGCGCGCGGGCTGTGATGACGAGGTCGTCACACTCAGGTGCCCCCACGGTACCAGCATCTCGGTCCAGGTGGCGCAGTACGGCAAGTCCGCGCCCTCCAAGGCAGTCTGCCCCCAGCACTCCTCGACTCCCGGACAGCAGGAACTGCCGCCCAATGTCACCTGCCTCTGGCCCAACGCTCTCCAGGTCAGTAGTTGCCTTCTCCGTGGTACAAAGATTTGTTCAATTCATGTTTCACGTTGAAGACATTAAGCCAGGAGCAGAGGGCGACAGTGACGAACATTTTGTCTGAGAACAGCAAAAACAAAATTTCTAAATTTACTTAAAAATAAAAAGAAGTAAATATACAAAACATTAATAAAATCGCGGGTTGACCGCTATGATAGAATAAGATGTTTATTGCAGGACAAGATGGACATTGCCTAGGTCCTTTTTTGTATTATTACTTTATTATTACTCGGTGCGGTGGGACTGAGTCCCTTGTACTGCGGCCACTTCTGGCCTATTGTACCAGCCCCAAATGATAGGTGAGGGTGATTGTGGAGCAGTTGGTGGAATGAAGATTGGCAAGGGAAACCGAAGTANGGAGAAAGAAGGAAGAGTTCAAATCGTGTATATTATGCTATCGCTCAGAATATGTCTCTCGTTGTCAGCGACGCAATACACTGTAGCTAAAATTTGATAGGAGGAATGAGGCACAAATTAGGAAATTAAAGTTTTCTCGTGCAATCAGAAGACAGTACGGGAACAAGGATTGGAATCGTAAGCAAAAACTCTACCGCACTACCTGCACATCTTCTCTAAAGGCAGTGACTACTGTACCTTGCGGTGGGAGTACAGACTAAATTTCGTAACATTTTGGTGCTCTCTGCTAGGTTCGCAGTACCTCCACCATAGCTCTGCGAGTCGTAGGAGGTGACGAAAAGGGAACCCAGTGCCTAGGAGTACAACCGGGCCACCCTGTTCCTGGGGGATATAAATACGGGGACCTGGCCCTTGAAGTTGAGCAGTCTCGAATATGAGACAGTAAAATGTGGTAATTATTTTCGCGGGACTCGGCCCTGAGAATGACTGCGCTGGCGAAGACCAGCAGCATTTGTAAACGGTAGACCCATCTTCTCGTCAGAGAGGATGTTACATAAGGCCTATTACCGCAAGAGTTCAGTGAAAAGAAAAATCTCAGGTCGTGGATCTCAAGGGGCCTGAAGCCAAGACGAACTGATTGGCGGTAAACCTCCAGTCGTAAAGTAACTCTGACCCCAGTTGTCTTTATAACTCCTCGGCGCGGACCACATCGAAAACACCGTTCTTATATTGTTTTCTGCCTTAGTATCTGATTCATCCCCCCGAAATAGAGCCCATAGCTGTATATGGACTGAGAAAGAAGACAGATGGAATCCTGAGTCCCTTTAGACAAGGTTCTGAAGGACAAGGACAAGGTCCTGGCACTGCTCAATCTCGAACTCCGGCCGTCTAGCCCAAGTGTGATGTTCGTTCTCGAAATAGTAACTCCACGAAAGTGATTCTTGAAACGCTAACAAATTCGGTTCTGAATGTGACCCGAAGTTCCATTACCGTGTTCGCAGTGGCCTACCGAATGAGCACACCATGCATCCTCAGACTGTATTCTTTTAAGTTCATTTTAATATTATCATTCCGTCACACTTCTAAAGTTATCTCTTCCCTTCAGATTTTCCTCCTGAATTATAGAAAGGTTAATGCCTCCTTAGATATGACGCCGTATAGTCTTGTAGATCGTTATTAATCATCCAGTATAACCTGTTGCTTCCACCTTCTACCCTGAAGATGGAGGTAGAAATATCCCTAGAAGTCGTCAACGATCTACACTTCTTCGTAGCAGCCTTCGTGAGGACTTCAAATGGCGTAAAATATTCTGTTTCTCAATTCCCCGATGCCTTTTTCATGTCCTCACCCATCTCGCTGTCCTTAACGTAGGTAGCAGTAAGGGCGAAAGTGATAGTTATCGAGAGGACACTTACAGCCTTAAGCTCTCGAAGCCGTGTTTCCCAGCAGTAAATCTCTGGGTGCGATCGTCTCTATTCTCTATGAGGTCATCACTTCTGCAACCACAATTTCCGACCTTTGAGCCTGCCCTGCCATCTAGGCCTCCTCTCAAAGTTCTCTCCCATCCACTTTTTTCTCTTTTTTGTGTGCCGTTTTTAGGACGTGAATTACTTTGGGAGTTGATCCTATGTCGGAGTAGTGCATAAAGCAAGATGGGGGTGGGGAGTTCGTAAGAAAAGAAGAGAAATTGCAAAGTCAATTCCATTATAGGCCGCTTGCTCGCCCGTGTTTCGAGCAGAGGCAAAGAGACCCTTGTATGATGAGAACCCCTGTCTTAAAGGGAAAAATACTTCTTCGTTCCCTACTCATCATTCTAACGCACTTGAAATCGACTCACAGGAGATGTTTGAAAGTCATAACGTCAAGTGGTCTGCCTAGTTAGCCTCTGGAGAGAACACAGATGTGTAACGGCCGTTGGTTGCGTAATTTCTTTTCTGCTGTTATTCCGTTGAAGGAAAAGCTCCGTTATTCAGTAGAGTTGATGATCCAGTGGATACAGACAACTCTGTATCCACGGATAAGGCGGCCGGAGAGTGACGCTCACTATTTACCTCCATCTCGTGTCGAAGTTTGAGAGAGACCGGAGCTGTACTTCCTGAAGAAGGCTCTAGTGATATTTCTTTTCACTGTATTTCGAATAAGTAAGGCGTGGATGTCTGACTGGATTTATCTGACTTGCGTTGGGGGCAGTGGTGAGGCTCGTGTGAATGTCGTAGTGAACCTTCTGGCTCCTTCAAAGGCTGGCAATTGCATTAACCATTGAGCAACTTTTGGCTCCTTAGGAAGACCTCTGCTCCTTGCAAATGGTTGGTTGGTCGGTCTGTCTGTCGATTGTTGGTTGGTTTAATTAGTTTGTTGGTTGTTTAGTTGGCAGGCTCTTATGAACACGGTAATGATCCGTTGGTCACTAGCTGAACAACTGTTGGATTCTAAAGGATTCCTGTCTCTGCAGTTGGTTTGTTAGTTCAATCTCGCGTGTAAAAGAACCAGAGCCTTCAGTATGCGCTCTTACAGTGTACGTGGCAAGGGCCTCAATTTCCGAATCTTTCAGCAAGGTTTACCGTAAAATAAGAGAAAAACTTAATGAACGGGCAGACCGCTGTGCCTCCGCGGTGTCTGGGTGCAGTCTGCAACTGTTCCATCATGGCCGCATGATCACCCGATTTCCATAGCAACGTCGCTTCGTGTGGTTACAGTGTTAGAGCAAGGGGAACTGCATTCCTGTTTCTGCTCCCTCAGGAGTATATATGCTTCGTGGGTTTGCAGTGTTAGAGTAAGGGGAACTGCATTCCTGTTTCTGCTCCCTCAGGAGTATATATGCTGCGTGTGGTTACAGTGTTAGAGCAAGGGGAACTGCATTCCTATTTCTGCTCCCTCAGGAGTATATATGCTGCGTGTGGTTACAGTGTTAGAGCAAGGGGAACTGCATTCCTGTTTCTGCTCCCTCAGGAGTATATATGCTGCGTGTGGTTACAGTGTTAGAGCAAGGGGAACTGCATTCCTATTTCTGCTCCCTCAGGAGTATATATGCTGCGTGTGGTTACAGTGTTAGAGCAAGGGGAACTGCATTCTTGTTTCTGCTCCCTCAGGAGTATATATGCTGCGTGTGGTTACAGTGTTAGAGCAAGGGGAACTGCATTCCTGTTTCTGCTCCCTCAGGAGTACATACACTTCGTACGGTTGTTCTAGCACAGCAGAGTCTCTATTGGGAAGCTGATAGTCGCTCACCCGGTTAGCAATATCCCCGCCTTTTATGGAGCCCGAAATGTTGTTACTTGTCTCGGGATTAGGGTTAGGTAAGGAAGGATGACTGGTCAATAATGAATTGGAAAGTATTTAAGGGAAGTGATCATGTCCAAATCGAGGTACTGTACCTGCATTTACGTGGATGAACTGAGGAAAACCGCGGGAAATATCAGTATAGTTTGTGTCCCGCCCGGGATTCGAACCAGTGTAGTAGTGTAGTAGTGACTATAGAGGGGTTTTGGATTGGATGATTGGATTTATTGACATCTTATTCACCCAACTCGGGACTACAGTCAATACATCGCTATCTCCGATCTACACACTTTGCAGTTCACCGTTACACACGCACTATGGTCCTCAGTCTTCACTAGTAGTATCCTGGCAACGGATTTATAACTGTTTCACCGTCACTTAAAATCGCACATCAGGTCTTACTTGCACCGCCCAATTCCTTTCTCAGTCACTTTCGACTGCCATCTCCAGAACTCGACCCAATTCGTGACATCAACTCACTCAAATGAACTTCTTTCAACTCAACTCTCTCAACTTCTGACAACTAACTGCTCTCTTGGAACTTCTCCTTATATAGAGTCGGGGTGGATACCACAGAAAACACCGTCTTCTATTTTCCCATATTGTTGTAAGTGTGTTTACTTATCCCTTGCCTAGCAATAGACGTCCTGTTGTTGCGCGCCTTGGCTCCCAAGGGAATGTGTTTACCGAGTCGTTGCCTAGCAGTGGGTATGCACGTCACTTTATTCTTATTCGGTACTTAAGAGTTTAACTAAGGTTGGTGCTTGGCAGATATGAACATTATTGTTTCGGAAATACGGACGTTTCAGACGGTCTCTGAGAGACAAAATTGAAAATTTCTCGAAAAGTGACAATGATTTTGAGTAAATTTGAGTAATTTATGGAAACCATTTCTCTTAGTGAAACTTCATAGGCAGCACCTTCGGGAAAATGACGGCTCATTATGATAAAGAACGTGCGATATGTTATTTACTTATTCTTGTATGTATTTGTGTGTTTCTTACGTTTTAACGACTGGACGGTCACCCTTGGCATTAAACTCGCTCTGCCCACAGCTTGTTTCCTTGCCGGCCGCTTCACCATGCTTTGTTCAGCCAATTACATCACCCGCAGCCATGACAACATGCTGTAAAGTTATTGTTTATTCACGGAACTTCTTCTTTTTGTCTAATTAGTGGCCCCCGCATCTGCGGCTACGTCACGTGTTCTGCAGGTTCCGTAACAGCCCCCAAGGCAATCAATAGATGTACGCCAAAGTTTCCCTTCCTTTCCGCCGTCCAGATTAAAAGGGAATTTGTTTATCCTCCCCCGTAGATTCCTTT